ATCCTGCCTCTCTCTGTATAGGGAATACTGAAAAGAATAAACATTGTTATCTGTCTCTTGTGAGAATCTCAGCAACTCCTCCCTTCACTGTAACCTCTTCTACCTTAAAGGTCTTTCAAAACAGCTTGTCTGTGGGATGGGGGAAGTGCAAATGAAATTTAGCTATTGCTACTTTACCTTTCTTCCTAGCTGCTGCTGTGGGCTGTACCTGTCTTACCCTGACAGTGAATGCTCTTTTGTGGTTCTGAAGGTGCGCTCTTAGCACACTTTCATCTAGAAAGACTGGTCAGACTGAGGAGAAGGAGCTCACATCCCCTTCCCTGAGTTAAAGGGGTTGGGACAGTGAAGCAAAGGGCCATTCCTAAGTAGTCATGCCACAGAGATGAGGTGAGATGAGATGAGATGAGATGAGATGAGATGAGATGAGATGAGATGAGATGAGATGAGATGAGGTGAGATGAGATGAGATGATGAGATGAGATGAACCCTGCTGGAAATCACGAAGTTGGTACATACATGCAGAAACTCAGAAACTCAGGAGCCAGCACAGTGGCTCATTTCAAAGCTCTGTCGGCTGGCAGAATGTTCTGAGGAGACCGGTTATGTGACCTTTCTCAGTCTCAGATACAGAGAGCAAATTCCAGTATCCTCAGACATGTGAGAACGCAGGTTCTTGTGCTCTTAGATGTCTCTTTAATAATGCACTTAAAACATTGTGACAATTCACTCTTATACCTGTCTTTGACTGTCATATGAGTGCTTGCAAGCTACAGAATTTCTTGCCTAGAAAGAAAGTGAAGACCTCCACAGATGCCTCCAGACAGGATGAGATTACCTCAAAACATCAGATTGAAGTCCAGGCTTCTGAATCTCACAGGCACATTGGAAAGGTCCCATTCAGGAGTGTTAATGCGATGCAGTTTCTGTGCCCTCTGTACAACTGACATCTTTCACTAAGGACAAAAGAGATACTCAGGTGGTGACAGATGAACATAGTGGGGAAGAGCAGTTCCACAAATGTGAGGGTAGTCCAAATCCCACCTATGCTGAAAGTTAAAATGTGAGTTAAAACTGTTCTCTTTTTAGACATTAGGAATTGAAAACACCAGAACTGTCCCTGTTTTTTTAATAAAGTAATAAGAGTTGTAATGTTTAAGCCCCCCTCCTCAATATAGCAGGATTAAAAGGACAAGAGTTGGTTATATTGTCTTGTAGTGAACAGGAGGCATTCTGAAATCTCAAATGAAGCATTCTGAAGTCAAATTAGTTACATACCTTATAAATAATTGAAGCCAATTGTTGCATTATCATAAACTATAGGAAATAACATACCTGCTTTCTAAACAAAAGAAAAAAATTGTATTTTCTGCACAAACACATGCTAGTTAAAATTAGCCAATGAATTTGCAGAGATAAAACCCAGACGGTGCTATTATTACAATAAATGAACACCACAAATGAAAGCCAATATTTAGGAATGTGTGTAGCAAGAGAGCACCACATACAGTAGTCAAGTGCAATAATAGTGAGCATCTTTACCTTTATAGAAACATCCATATTTTTAGGCACTTTGCTATCATATTTGTAGTGACTGTCCTTCTGGCCAATTTAAAACTGAAGGCCTCCAGAAACAAAACCTCACAGCTTGTGCAAACAGAACTGTAAGATTTATATTTCCTATAGACTGGGCACAGACCAGTGGGTTCGTAATGTAAAGATAATCTGTGCATTTCTATGGAAATTGGGGTGCCAGAGCTAAAATATATCTACATTGTGTAGACACTCTTGCTGACCTTTGGATTATATGTAAATTAAGTTTTATCAATTAATCAATGGGAACCTTGTATTACAAATAAGGTGTCATTTTTCTGCTGTTCAGAAGAAAAGAACAGTGCCTAGTGTATGTGAAATCCTAATGCACTCCTGGAAAATCACCACATAGGCAATTAATTTGTTTAATAAGTTTTGTAAGCCTGGGATATTTTATGCTGACCAGCCAAGGGGGTTGTCTCTCCTTGAAGAAAGGGGACCCTATATTTTTAGTTCTGTGATGTTTGCAGCATTTATCTTTAACATAATCCTGAACACATGTTGCTTGCCAGCAGCAAGGGATATATATTATATATATATATTTTCTTTTCTAAGGCTGGAGGCTGAGATCTGCTCTGGCCATGACTTCAGCCACCGCCCTCCCAGAAGAGATGCTACAAATCAACTTCAGCACCAGGACATGAAATTGTATTAACAGTAATTATGTTCCCTGCTCCCAGGAAGAGACCCGCCCTTGAAAGTCTTCAGCACACCACCAAAGGAGCGTCTGTCAGGTTAAGCATCTTTCTGCATTCTTCTGTTTTGCAGCAGACTACCACACCAAATTACTTCTGAGAGATGTAAAAGCCTTATTCAGGCATACTTCAATCTCAAAAAATAAAACTCATCTGAAATAACTGGTTATTTGCCTAAGAGCAAGAGCCTCTCACCGGAGTGTGGTCCAAATTAAAATGTTTGATACAGAAACAGATTTCTTACAGTCACGTGGCAAACAAATGTATATGCACAACAGGAGACAGAAATAAAGTCCTTGAGCTGGGGTATGATGTTTCCAGTCCCACAGTGCACAGATGAGGGTCCTGTCTCTGGCTGCTCCAAGCCAAGTCCCCTGGCCTGAATGGGCTTTTAAACACCCGTGTCCCAGCCTGGGCAGGGCTGCCACACGGGCTGACTCCACCCCGGCTGCAGGGAGACGAGCAAGGGCAGCACTGCCAGCTTTTGTAGTCAAGAGTAGCACAGTTAACATGAAGATCTGGAAAGCAGACAATACCAGAGAGAGCACTCTGTGTCACAGCTTTACACATGCAAACCATTCATCCAGCATCTTATAGAAGCACCATTGAGAGGTTGAACTGAGAGCACCGCGTACACAGGATTGTGTTCAAACCAGAGGACAGGAGCTGTTCAGGGAGCCATGGAGAAGCACGCAGCCCCTCAGGATGGATTCCTTGAAGGCACGATGGATGAGGGCTTGGAGAAAAGGCAGCTGGTCATCAGCCAGCTGAAACTATGGGGATGAGCCAGCTCTGGGTTACTCATGAATATGAATCCCCACACCTACTCATCCCTCACCCCATGGATCCTGCTACATGTAAGCAAGCCTGCAATTTATATGAATAGAAAGACTGAAGCAACAAATTGTTCACAGTTGACATGAACATCACTTCCCTGAACGCTCACTATTGTAAGAGCTAGGTTCTTCAAAAGAAGACTGGTAATTCTTATTGCAAAGCTTGGTCATCATAGCTACATTACTGGGCTTTTTTTTTAGTGGATGTTTGTAAGTGACTATTGCTATTGTAGGGCTAACTGAGGTCTAGTTAACTGAGTTAACATTAAATGTGTCTCTATAAAGATGTTTCCAAGTTGGGACAAGTAAACTTTGGGGTTGTCACTTTATACTTTTGAGTTAAACACATACAGTATGGAAAAGAGTATGGAAGTACTAGCTACTTTGTAGAAAAGGCACTATAACTGATCTAACTGTGGTAATTAGGTACATGCCCATGCTACAGGTATCTGCAAAGAATTTATTTCTCTCTGTGACTGAGAAAGTTATTCTACACTCATGGTAGAACAGGATGACTGGTTTACATATTGGATTAGCACTGGTTAGGTATGTGGTAAGAACAATTTTCATGGAAGACACAGATTCATGGAAGAGATGTCTGAACTGCATTTCCTATTTTCTACCAGTTCCCAGAGAGAAATCAAAAAGACCTTTTCACTAGTGCAGTTATATACACATTACAGCTTCTGTTGGCCTTACTGTGGAAATTTGCTGTGAGATCGTATTGTACAGTTGTGCCAAAAAAAGGAATCAAAGAAATAGACTGTGAATCTTCCCAGAAAACATCACCAGGTAACAAACACTTCATTTTGGATGTTGAAATTTTATTTAGGGGTATGGTGAAAGAACTAAAAAGAGCAGTAAAGAGACAAGTAGAAGAAACTCCCTTTTCTTTACAGTCAGATGAATCTCTTTGGGGATTACTGCTGGAAAAATCTTTCTATCAAATACATTAATGAAAAGGAAGCACTGACAGCAGCCATAAAGGAACAGGTATTACTTCTGGGAAGGGAGAACTAAACCAGAACATTGATTCATTGTCAAGAAATGTAAATACTCACCAACCTTGGTCTGAATTCTAAAACATTTTCATTTAGCATTAAACTACATAATGGTGATTGCAGGGGAGTTATGGACTCCCCCATACATCCTTGTTCAGGAGGGTAATTATTTTTTGCAGCTTTTAAGTCCAGTGTGTGTGGGTCTCGAGGCTGAGGGCAGGTACACGTGCCAAAAGCAGCAACCCAAAATGTGAATTGCTTCTCCATGAGACTGGGGTCTGATGAACCATTAAAAGGTTGTGACCAGTCTGAAAGTAATTGAAAGAGGAAGGAATATGCCACTGCCACAGCACTGCAGACATGGTACCAGCTCCCAGTGCAAGGCTGTAGGAGACAGGTTAAAAACAGAAACCAAAGAAAGATGAGAGGGGGAGGAAAATTTTTCTTTCACTGCATAAAAGGGAAGCCCAGGGGGTCTCAGGAGCAGTTGTCAGAACAGAGGAAAGAAAGGACGGAAGGACTCGTGTCCCTTCCTGCAAAGCAACATTTCTGATCTGGCTGTGAAAGACAACAGAATGACTGGGCAGTCCTCCACCACCCTTTGACCTGCTGGTCTCAATGGGGGTATTTCTAGAGTGATGTTTGCTTTTCTTCTTTTGCACCTTAAAATTTTACAATCAAGAATTCAGTGCTATTCTTTGCTATCAACTGACATTATCTCAAGATATCTTTGAATTGGTCTTGAAATTGAATCTAGTGAACCTGGCAAACCTCATGTTCCTACTGTTTCTCCAAAAGCAGTCATCCATGTAGAAGGATAACTACACCTTGAGATGCATTTGGGAATATCAGGAGTTGAGGTATGCCTGCCACTAAACTGCAGGAGTCAGACTGAGAACTACATATATAAACTGGTACCCCTGAGCAAGGAACAGACAGCAAACACATAGTTAAAGACTAAAGAAATTCTTCAGACTTAGCATGACAAATATTTTGAAAAATGGTGCATCTTATCTTTGGCCTTAAACAGTGTGAAGTAGAAGGAGAGAACATTCAAAGGTGAACTTCATGAATTCACATTCAAGGAAACAGCAACAAAAACTTTTATAAAGGGAAAACCTCCAGAAAGCAGAACCACAGTCATCCTTAAAAAGCACTGAAGTGGAAGCAAAGGGTTTGCTGCAGCTGTCGAACATGGCAGCATGGTCAAGAACAGGATGGATGTGGAGTGGTCTGAACTGCTTCTCCTTCAAGGAAGAGTCACAGATCAGAATGTGCTGCACTGTCACACAAGGTCAGGATCCACAAAGTCTGAACCACCCTGTGGGCAGAGGCTGACTGCACAACTGCACTGCTCCTCAGAGCAAACTTGCAGGCAAAGCCTGTAAATCAGCACACTTCTTTCAGTTATGAAGCTATTTCTAATAAATGTGTGCAACCAGATCTATGCTTGCCCTTTATAGTACCAAGTCATGTTGAGAACTGACCAAGGATCCGAGAAGGGTTCAACCTTCAAAACCCAGTACCAATTGAGCTGAAAGTAAACCTGTTTTGTTTACTACAGAATAAGCCAACCTCAGTTTATGTACTGTTTATTTTGAATTAAAAATGAACTGCTCTTCAAGCACATGCCAGATATTACGTATGTGAATGTTGCCAGCTTGGACTATAAGTTATACTTGTGTCCAAATTACAAGTGTATGCTTATATACATGGGGATATGTGCACATGCATGTCACACAATGCTAGTTCTTTACCCTTGGACTATTCTTGTACCATTGTTCTATTTATTGTATTATTCTTGAAGAAAAAAGGTACCAATCCAGTACCTGCTTATTTCATCCAAGCACTGTACTTCATTTTTCACAGTAACAGATTAATTCAGCATTTTTGAAAAGCCAGTGGGTTTGAAACTGTTTTTCAGAGGCCCAAGTAGGTCTTGGTTGCCCTCCTGCTCCTTTTAGCAGAAGAACAAGGAGGCTATGCCTGACTAAATCCCACTGTCTCTTTTGCCTCTTTTTTGCCCTTTGGCAGTGTTCTTTTACATAGACTCCATAATTTTAGCTTAAAAACAGCAAGACATGTTCCATTTCCCTGCTCACGGAGACAGAAAAAGTCAACAAAACAACCCCAAAGCAATTTTCATTTATCTACTTTTGAAATACGAAAAAAAACCAAACAAAAAATCAAGCCCAAATAAAGAATGGGATTCCTCCTGTTACAAACCCTAGTAAGTTAATCTATAAAAACTTTGAAGATGAAAAATAGGTTGTAAAAAAAATGTATTACCCACTGAACACAGTACAGAATTTTTCCTATATAAGAAACTAGACAAACATTAAAATAGTTAAGTCTTTAAAAAGGGCAAAATTCTGCAATAAAATTCCTCAACACTGCTAAGGTTAGATTACACATTATGCCAATGCATTCAATTGCACAATTTTTGCAACATGACAATGGTCTGGGGTGTATGTGTGTACATGTTTATGTCCATTTGAGGGAAACAGTGCAAGAATGCTAAGGGTGACCGATGCCATTTTAAAGGGATATTTCACAAATAGTCAAACAAAACCCCTACAAATATCAGTACACATCTCAAATACTGAAAGTCACATTCTACAGCCCTTGACATAAAAAAAAAAAAAAAGAAAAAGCCAGCAGAATTAATTCAAGTACATTTGGAGTCAGTCCCTTGTGAACTACTGTTGTTTGCACTTTAGTTGCAGTGAAGGTGGCCAGAGCTCCCCAAAAGACACAGAAGTGAGTGAATCTTCCCCAGCCCCGAAGAGTAAGTCTGAGTTGAGGTACAATTATTCATGGTTTGCTCAACATTGCAGATGCCAAAACTTGAATGAAAAATTATGCTTGAAAAACACTTTGAAGAAAATTACATAAAATAATCTCTTAAAATGAGAAGCTAGTTTTGTGTAAAGGTAGTCTTTTTGGTATGTAATCCTATCAGGACAACAACAAGCATGGCACTCCTTCCCAAATTACGTTTACCTTGGAGCTAATAGCAATAAAGAAACCTTTACATTTTCCTGGTCATCTTTCTGACCTGATGTACCCTTTCCCATGAGCCTTGATCCAACACCCAGAAAAACCAGCAGGTATCTGGGTGAAACGTACATTGCTTCTTCACAACTTGTGTTCCACAGGAAAAGCACTTCCCCCTCCATGTTTCATTGTCCTTTGAAAATAACAGCGTGGAAATCTGCTGCAGGAGTGGTTAAAGTCTGGTGAATTCCCTGTGGTGCTGCAAGTCCCCTATGCTCTCGTAGTCGCTCTCTCCTGAAAGAGCAGTGTGGTTTGTGCTGGGCACCACCAAGGTCCTGTCCTCCTCCTGGCTCACTGCCTGGATAGCTTCATAGTCCGGCTCCAGCTCCCCGTTTGCTCTGTCCGCTGGCTGAGGCACAGTGGTGGAATTGAGGGCGTTTTCAAAGTCCTTCACACTTGCATAGAGGCCGCTGCAAATGGACGGGGATCTCTGAGATGCAATTTCTTGAATGCAGGTGTAAGGAGAATCCAGTGCCTTGATGGCCTGTCCCGGCTTACTCACCGATGAGTACATGGCTGAGATCTAGGAAAAGGAGACACCTGCTGAGTATGGAGCATGGCAAAGAGCTTGTGCACCAGTCTGTACCCTTGCACTACAAGGATGCTGGTTTTTAAGAAAAGACAGGATCTTCTGATACAAAGATATCCATTCTAAAAGATTATGACTTTTTCCTTGGAAAAAAAAAACCCCAACTATTTCTTACAATTCCTTCTTTTTCTGGCATGCATTTACAGATCAGTTTTCTTTAAAAAAAAGACTGCTTTATAAAATAAGTTTATAAATGCAAAACTTCCTTGAATATAAAACCCTGGTGAGAAAATTAGAACTGGGCAAAAGGGAATGGCTTTGTAAGCAGGAGCTCTTGCAAGTTTTACTACGGTCCTGGAGTCAATTTAGATTCATCAGGGAGAGAGGCATCAAAGGGAGGATCAGATTGAACTGCTGTAATGAAGGATGCTGTCTGATCCTTAGGGCTTTAAAAATTATTACTGTTACTATTTTTAATGGTAGTGGCTACTTTTCTGCTTTTAGAGACACTGCAATAGAAGAAGAGTTAATTAATAATTAATAGTTAATTGTTTTTGTAGGCAAGACTAAATAGGCACCAACACATGTGAAGACAACATTAAAAATCTGGAGATAAATTACTCAGACCAGATAATAGCAAGTAGTGCCAACACTGATATGCAAGGTCTGCTCTGTTGACTACACTTTGCCTACAAAGAAGAGCTGCTTCTCAGGCACTGAGCATGTGAACTTTAGACTGGAGACTGAATCCTCTCAGCTGTAAACAGCAGAAAGGGAGCCAGCATTTCATTCCTAACTAAAAGTTTCCTCTGGTGAGGTGATACACTTCAACAAGTGCATGAAAGTGGCCCTTCATGAAAAGGTGAGGAGAAGCCCACATCCACACATGTCCCTCTGCTCAGGGATTACCTGGGCTGTTGCCAAGCACAGGAATCAGTCTTAATTCCCTCTCCCAGGACAAATGGATCCTAGCCCTTGCACAAGACAGATTGCAGAAATTCCCTGCACAGCTTCTCTGGTACCCAATATCACAGTGCAACATAGCTCTTCCATTACATTTGAAGTCTTTCCCAAGCATGCAAAGCCATTCTGGGTTTGCATCAATCCAGTTAAAAGAGTAGATTAGCATAAAAATCTCCATTACCAATAGGCAACACAGACTGAAGCAGACAAACCAGACCACTTCTGATAATTCTGGGATTTTTTGTGTGTGCGTGTTTGTGTGGGGCTGAGTTTGGCTGGTTGGGGTTTTTTTGGTTTTGGTTTGCTTTGGGGTTTTTGGGGCTGGTTGGTTTTTGTTTGTTTGTTTTAGAGGGAAATCATCTTGAAGATGGCAATACTTTTTACTTTTTACTGATTTCAGCTAACAAAAAATGGCTTTTCTGCTCATCTGTACTTCAACTCTTCTCAGTATCAGATTACATTCACCCACTTCAAGGTCAGGTTATTCATTAATGGCTGAGAATGCTTCTCCCAGCAGAAGGCATTAGCTCACCTAGCTCATTGCCAAGTTTGTGTTTGGTTTTATGTCCAGAAAACATGTTTATAAATGGCATGGGTGTACTGAAATGAGCACAAACAGCCTTATTTATGTTTAACTTTTCTCTTTGTTTAACTCTCATCCATTTTTCTGTCCAACAGACAGTTGGCCATAAAGAACAGTTTATGTTCCAGTGCTTTTATTGTGCTTCAGCTTACTTCCCAGAGCCCCAAACACTTTGCATGGGGAAGGTGGAGCATATGTTTCAAAAGGCTGCTGGTTATTCTTCTTGAGAAGGTTTTGTCACCCAAATCAAGAAATTACCCTAACGATCAACTAATTGTGGCCTCCTATTGCTTTCTGACACCATTTTTAACCTATGGGCCTGATACAGCCATATGTCAGAATACCTCTGATTTTAGGAATGGTTCTCTGTGCAGAGAACCTTGGGCTTTCATTTTCCTTTCACACAAGTTTCACCTTTCTTGGATTCTGCTTAATCACCCAGAGCTTATGCTAATTTGTGCCTAAAAATTGGTCTCTAGTTAGTTACTGAATTTCATGCAAGAAACCTACCTCATCTTCTGTAAGAGATGGATCTTCCTCTCGAGACTTGTAAGACACTGAACTAAGCCTCTGTAAAAAAGGAAGAAAGAAAGAAAATAAAAGGCTCATTACCCATCAGCAGTGTGAAATCTATAATAAAACCCTCCCATTTTAATCAATACATTATATTTTATGGTCATTTGCTCTCAAGTTCCATTATACATAGCTAATACCCCCACTATTCAGAGTACTTCTCTGGAGATTACAGCCCTGAGGTTGGTAAAGTTTTTTTAATGTATCTGCTGTTATCCTGACCTGAAAAGGGTAAAAATAATGCAATGGTTAAAAAAACCACTTCACCACTGTATCCCTGCCTTTACACCCCCTATGAAGTATCTGCAGAGGCTTCTGAACAATTAGAATTCAGCTGTTGTGATACACCAGTTGCCCTTTCACAGGATTTTCAGATACACTTTTAGATGACAGAAGAACAATACTCAGCTGACACCTTCTGGAGGATTGTTACCCTTCATTCTGTAGATCCTGGTCGTGCTGCATGGGAGAGCTGTGTCCCCCACCCCTGGAATGCAGTTCCTGTGCAGAGGTGCTCAGCAGCCTGGCCTGACAACCACTCTGACCTGCTGCAGCCCACCCTGAGCTGGAGCCAGGTCACACAGCAGAGGCACTGAAGGATGGAGGGCTTGGTTTGCTATCAAGTCTAATTTCAAGCATCTAAAGTGTTCTGTGTAAAACAGGTCATGAAACATCAGGGGAAAAGCATTTTGCTCTTACGAAAATCATCTTCAGACTTTTACAGCCCTGCTGCTGCACATGAATGGCTCCTCCCTGGGCCAAGAAGGCTCTGCTGGACTCCTGCTCCACAGTGATTCAGAGGGAGCCTTCCAGCACTGTAAAAGGCTGTATTCTGGACTTTCACACAACTTCTCCAACTAAAATACTTCATACCACCTTCAGTGCAAGCCAACATGGAGACATGGAGGACTAGAGCTATTTTCAGCACAGTTAATAAAATACTACTTCCAGGCACACAACTTGTTTTCTTTTTTCTTTTTTTTTTTTTTTCTCAGAGGCTCATTGTGATAGATTCTTTCCTCCTTCCATTTTCTTCTTGTTTTTACTTCTGGTAAATACCAAACTTCAGATTCCTAGGCACTTCTGACAGACCCTGGCCCAAAGCACACTGAAGTTCTGCCTACTGCACCCGAAGAGCTTCCCTCACACTGACAAGCTCCCTCACTTCTTTCTCACTGACTGGAGAACAGTGCTCTTTAACCTGTGGTTTGTTTACTCTTAAAAAAACCAACCAACCAACCAACCAACCAACCAACCGAAAAAACCCAAAAAAAACAAAAGAAAAAGGAAAAGTTCAAATATATTTTGGCCTTGTATTAAATCTGCTTCACTACAGCAACTTAGTTTAGTCTTTCCTATCTGCATCTATTTCTGCTGGGGAGTAAGCTACTAATTTCATCCTCACACATTAGAACAAGCATGTGCTCATAAAATTCTTCAGTGATTTTTCTGTCATCAGTGTGTCTATAAGCACCAGGTGTCAGGACCCCTTCTACACTTTCCCACTCAAGTACTGATAAACACCCCAGGGTGTTTGCCATCCTGTGCTGTTCCCCTGATACAGCATTCTTTCTTCTAAATGTGAAGCTTGTGACACATCTGTTTTGGAGGATATTGTTATCTTGAAAACTTAAATCCCACTTGCCCCTAAACATTTTGTACCTAGCAACATTTTAAACTATGCTGAAACCTCAACAGTAGCAACACGTGTCCTTATTTGCCTTCCACTTTCCTTTTGTTCCTCGACAACACTTGATATTTTGCTCTTTGGCTCAGCTGCTGCTCCTGACTTGGGCACAAGAACAAGGACATTCTCCTCTGGTGCATTTGTAAGAGATGCTTTGCTCATCCTCAGGCTGTGCAAGGCTGAAATGGCATGGCAGCAGCCAAATGGACACACAGATAGCACTTCTACCAGTGCGCACTCTGGAAAGACCTGGGTGAAAAAGGAGATTCATACTTCTTTTTTAAATAAAAGAAAGAACTAAAGAAATCTATTCTGCTTTTTCATTTTTATTAGAAGAATGATGTTCAAGGTTTTGCAGGTGACAGAGGCCTGTAAGAGGCCTTGTGCTGTTAAAGGTGCCTTTCTTCCCAAGTCTTTCCAAAGGATTTGGCTGGGTCACAGCCAAAAACCTGTTTAGGTAAATTTTCATCTGTTATTGCACACCTGGCTCTTACAAGGATGCCTGGTAGTTTTCATGCTGTTATATAAAGGAATGGTCTCTGGCTTGGTCTACCTAGTTCTCTCCCAGACTGGAGTGCTTCGGGGACTGGCATGGGCTGGGGATCACCCTAGCTGCCCTCTTTTAGACAGTGAGACAGCTTGGACACAGTTTGTTCCCTCAGCTGGCAGGTACAAGCCTTGGTTACACAGGAGCCTCCCTGCCTGTCCCTTCTGTGTGCCCTCATCATAGTGAGGGAGACATACACACAACATCTGTCTTCATCAGGGCCAGGGCAGAAGGCTGAAGAGTTTGGGATACAGATGTCATGCTAAACAAAGCAGCTGAGTAGACTCATAGAAAGGAAGCAAAACCAGAAACACCTATGGGGTCTAGCTAAAAGAGTTATCAGTGTAACATACATTTCCATGAACATCTTGGTTTTGGTCGCCACATCACAAAACCAGGCATTGCTCTGCTTTGCTTGAAGCAGCAAAATACAGGGAGAAGCTATCATCATCACAACAGAAAAACAATCCCCCAGCCCCCTCCCCACACAATGCCAACAATAATGACATTTATATATTCCATCAATTACCATCTCCAGCTCTGCTGCAGCTGTAGCTCTCAAGGACAGGACAGGCACACCCGATGCATAATGCATGTACCCAGCAGCGTGGACAGCCATGATCTGATGCTGCCCAAGACTGAACTCAGGGTGCCTTCAGCTCTGAATAAATTTTAATTAGACAAACACCTTTTTTTCTGGCACTTAGGGGACTGCATGTGTCATCTCTTGATTAATCCTTCAAAACCTGAACCATTTTAATCAATTCCCACTCCTGGCAGTTACTGACACTGCATACACGGTGTGCTGGGGAGCTACAGAGCAGCAAAGGCTTTTCCTTTGTATTGGTGCCTGGGAAGTACAATTGCTTTCTGCTAGTCTTTTCACACCTGGTAGGAAAAATATCGCTTTTACACTAAGCTGTTTATCTAAAAGTTTAATTAGAAATTACTTATGGCTGGAATGTGGGAGGGGGGAATGTTTCTGGATTATTGTTGACAGTCACATCTTAATTTTTTGCTTAATGAGCTCATTGTTGTAAAAATGTGCACTGAAGAGTCCAGCTAAGCAATTTTTATACTGCAAGAAGTCTTCAGGTTTTATTCATTTGGGCTATCTTGTGCTTTACAAGTTACATGGTCAGTTATTTATTTAACAAGATACTCTTCTGCCTTCTTCCTGGATTACTGAAATTCTTCAAATAAGAGAACAAACAAAACCAAGTAACAATACCTCAGCTCTGCTGTGATTTTTCACTTACATGTTTACATTAAAAAGTCACATTGCATCTTAAGAATTTTTTGGAAATTTTCATCAATACCTACCTAATATTATTTGATGACTTGGACACCAAAAATCTCCTAAACCTTTCATTCACAATTAATAAGAAGATATTGAAACATGCTCAAAAATGCAAACTCAACAGTTTATGAAAAGTCTGCTATGATCTGAAAGCATCCTTAAAATGACTTCTGGTAAAAATCTACAAATGGGAAAAGAAACCATTGAAAATGTCATAATTCTATATTTCAAGGAATTCACCACAACTCGTTCCTAGGGAGGAAGCATAAGCTGCTGAGAAAACTTCACTTTTGGCTGTGATTTCAGCACTTAGAAATTCCTTACACTCTGTTTATACGTGACATGCAGGATTTGACAAATATAAAAGCGTAGAGCTGCAATCTCTCTCTCTTTCTATCCCTCTCTCCTACAGGCAAAGACAAAGTCAGTGCCTAACACTTGCATAGCTAAGTCAAGGTGGCCCAAAGAAAGAGGCACATCTAAAGTAAGGACATCCCCCAAGGATGCCCCCCTCTCCTTTTTGTAAGTTGCAGTTTCATGAGAACAAAAAAGAACAATATATAGATGGTGACAGAGATACTGCATGTCCTTTGTAATAGCTTCCACAAGTATAATACCATCAAACAAAGAAGCAGAAGCCTCCTATGCAATTCCTGGATGATATTTGGGAAAAGCCTTTTGTACTGCATAGCTGCAACAGTCAAAAATACAGGCAGCAATAGAATGAGCATATACCTCTAAAGCAAGGATTCGACTATACATTATCATATTTCCATTTACAGTCTTGCTTCATCTTGAGTGGGGTTTCTTTCTTGTTATTTTTTATTACTGAAAAATAAAATCCTCTCCCACCCATATTTCCCAATCATTATTTGGCTGTTTGATGAGGACAAATATTTGCAGTATTTACCTTTTCTGGTTTACTCGCTCCTTCTGTCACTTCTTCTTCCACTTCTTTTTCTTGCACATTTTCATTTTCATCAAGAAGTTTCATGGGTACTGGAGGGGGAAGCTCATCCTCTACATCTGGAATGTTGTCAAGAGGACTTTCTGAATTTGCACTTTGGCGACTCTTCTTATTTCGGTCAACAGATGCATATTCTGCTGACTCAATTCTGCACTCAGGAATCTGATTCTGACCTTCAGAAACTGTCAGTGAAGCCTTTGATTTGCTGCTAGAGTTCCCTTCCATGCTGACTACTGCTCCAACATCTTTAATTTCCTTCACAGTTTCATACAAGCAGTCTTCAACTATGTTCTCCTGAGAGGAGCTGTCCTTCAAGACTTCATAAGGCCCTTCCATTCCAAGACCTTGATCATTTTCTGCATTTCTAGATGAGATTATAGTTTCCATGGGGTTGTTAGGGGGAATACTGGGTAGTTCCCGGCTCTGGTGACATTTTATAGACTTTCCGAGACTATCCTGTTGATCTAGTAGATCAGATGTCTGTACTTCTTCATAAGGCTGGATACAGGCAGCTGTACTGTCCTCAGAAAGAACTAAAGAAAATTACAGACAAGTATTACAAACAAAGGCATAACTAAAAGGTGTGATTTGGTACTCTCTGCATCACTTTGGTTTTGTGACATGCTGGAAAGGATAAATGATGCTAATGCCTGGAAATGCCTAGTGATTAGCATGCTTTTTGCTTGTCAAAAGGTTTCAGTTAGAGACATTTCTGCACTCTACTGGTAAAATATCTTTCTCACAACATCTAAAATAGTCTGTACGCCCCCAAGTCACATTATATGGCAACAGCATTCACTGTCAGAACAGGGGGTGGGATATTCAGCTGCCTTGTACTCAGTTTCACTGAATGATTACAGAGTGCTCAGTAGTCTCAGATGGGAAACAGGTGGGAGGCCTCAAACCAAGAGCCTTAAAAAAATCCTCGTCAGATTTTCCTCTTTGCATTTCCCCATTCTTTGGAATCAAAAGGAAAGCGTTCCTTCTTCCTCTCCACCATCCTTCAGCTCGTTTAACATGCTGGCCCAGTTCTGGTTGGAGCTGCACTTTGCTCAGCCCTCCCTGCAGGCTCCAGCAGGAGCTCCCCACCGAGGGCTGAGCCATCCTTCTCTTAGTCTCGCAGCACATAATGCTGCTTGACAACCTACTAACGAGCTGGCCATATGCACAAGAGACAAGACTAGACTTCAGGAGGTAGTGTCAGGCAGAACACGTTGTTTCAGGTCCCAGAAGTGGGCCACATGTCATTGTCACTAGAGGAATTAGGAACTGAAATGTATGGGGCTTCTCATCTTACAGCACACGTGTGACATCTGTGTGCATTCATGGGCATATACAAGCATGTTTCAAGCACGGTAGGTAACTTTACCTCACACTATTTCTGTAAAAAATCACTTCTGAACAGCTTTACTTTTCCTAGTACAGTTCCTAAGGCACTATCTCAACAAAAACAACCCATTCTTCTGTGTCCTTCAGTGTGTTTGACATGGTGACAGAAACGTTGCCAAAGCAATCGATGCCCTTGATTTGGTGGTTGCCATGGGCATTGCTTTCTCTTGTGTTCAGGGCATGCAGACACAGTCAGCACCTGCAGGGAGCCATACCCTGACTGCAAAACTCAGGACAGAACTGGAGGTGTGAGATGATAATCACTGTCTGAATGGGAGATAGGAGTTTTGCCTTTCTGCTCCTTGATTCTAGGGATTTCTGTGCTGTGCTGAACACCCTTACAGAACCCAGAAAGCACACACTCCATACAGGCTGGAGGGGATAATCAAAAGCAATGAAAGCTTAGGTTTCTGTATTTTTGTGGTTATGGGTGGTATCACAGAAGGGGTTAGTGTAGCTGAAGGGTTGGCATAGATAAGACAATGCTGGCAGGTTGGGTAAAGGAAAAAAACATAGCATTTGATGGTTCCTCTTCCATAGCCCTGCCCCTGCTCAAAAAGCTAGCAGAAACAATAATAAAAAGTAGTATTAACAAAAAGTGCATAAATTGTGAGTAAGAAATTAAAGCTCAGGGGTTCCTGTTATTCAGAAGGGCTGTTATGCAGAGTGTAAGCTGAGTATAATATCAGACAGTCTGTCTGAAAACTGTCTGCTGGTTGACAGCACACCTTTTAGCAGCAGCTCTGACAGCTGCACACGTGGTGACTCATGGCAGAGAGAAATACTTCCATTCTGCAGGGCTTTTTTCTGCACATCAAGTCCTCAGGGAACCACACACCTACATACACAACAAGCCAATGGATGGGAACAGCAATTAGCTGCAAAAACAAAGTTTAAAAATTACTTTGGACGCTTGTCCCTAAGGGGTAAAGTCTAGACAGCTTAGCCTCTGGTTGCAGGAGATGAGGAGAGAGCTCTAAGTTGGAGTGCAGCCCCTGGTGTTGGTGTTAGTGTGAAGACAACAGTTGGCTCCCAGTGGCTCTGAGCTGAGAGTGAGTTTATTTTTAGGTGCAGCTGAGTAAAATATTTTCCAGTGATACTTCAGGGTGAAAAATTTTGAGTGTTCAGCAAAGCAAAGACTAAGGAAAAAAAAAGGAAGCCTATTTATGTTGCCTGTTTTCTAAAATATAAAAATATAAGTGACAGCACAGCACAGGACTGTGATCCAAAGCTGTGATCTCTGGAGGAGGACTTGAAATATGTCCCTAAGTTCCTGGAGCACTTTTGAACCTCTAAGGTGCAGCTTCATCTTCTGGTTTTATCCCAGTCCCATAGCTTACCAAGGTTAGGGAAGGTCCCATTCTCTGCCTGGTGACCTGGTCAATCTGCAGGTATGGCTTGGTGACACACACCTGGTGGCCCAGGAGAGGACCTCAGCAGCTCCCAGTGCTGGCTGGAGGGCTGGGAGCAGCAGCGTGGGGCTGTGCCAGAGCACGCCCAGGAGTGTGCGGATGCCATGGGACACAGAGAGAGCAACAGCAAGCCTTTCTCACAGCGGCTTGTGAGAATTTTCAGGGAGTTGTAAGAATGTAATAACTTGTTAGTATAAACAATCTGCAGGTGGTGTTTTGCTACTTTGTCTTTCTGTTCTTCTCAAAGATAGTGTATGAGAAAGGTGTTTTTGTTAACTAGCCAATCAAACAGAATGTATCATTTATTACCATTTTATTATAGGTTTTTATCATTTTATTATTGTTTTATTATCACTCTTATTATTATCGTTTATTGTTCACTCTGTATTATTATCTTTTGTTATCACTCTATAAAAACCACGTGGTTCTTTAGAATAAAGCCTTCTTTGCTCTTTCTGCACTACTGCCTCTCACCTGTTCCTGTGTCGTTCTCAACACGAGAGTAACAGAGTGGAGATGCAGTCTAAACCTCCCAAATCTCCATGAGACGATCACCTCCACTGACCTCCCAGCAAGGCAAACAACTCCATGGCATTTTTTAACTTGGCTGTAAGTTCTGTGTGATCTGGTGTCAGACCTGCAGAGGTGTGCAGAGTATTCTGACAGATGGCTTGCCTGTGTGCTTGGAAAACTGCTGGCTGGCAAGCTGAAACCCGAGGGATCAGCAGCGCTCAGCTGAGGAGGGAGCTGTGAGCAGCGCTGGCTCATCGCACCCGCAGGGGCTGCCCGGACTCACCCTCTCCGTTGCTCAGGGCTCCGTTCTGCTCGCTGTTTGGGGGAGGCTCCGTTACAGAACTGGTGATGGAATGGCTGAACACCTCCTTCTCGGAAGGCTGCAACACACAGCAGGGACTGCTGGATCACAATCAACGCTGACGTGAACAAGCACAACAACAAATTGCATTCCCATCTCTGGGGCTCTGACCCACAGGTATTACTGGGCAGGAGAAGCAAACCATGCCAGCTAGATTCAAAGATTTAAGTGCCTGTCTTTGCAGATGTTAAATAGAAATAAATGCCAAGATGTTCAGAGTGATGTCCTTCTCAAGCTTTACGGTACTAGACATTGCTATGGCTTTAACCCTTGAGAAGACAGCAGCTGACAAAGGGTACACTGTACACTGCCTTGGGCTGCAGATGGAGTGAAGGGAAGGCTGGAGTACAGGGGTGGCAGAAAGGGCACTGAGAAAATGCAGATTATCAGGATCTACACAAGTTTTCCTCCTCTTCCCGTTCTGCAACTTTTGAAGTTTCCCATGCTCAACCATCTCGAAATTCCTGAGCTATATTCCAATCTGTTGTATTTTGCAAGGAGCTTAGTACAAACCAACCACAAGACAGACACAAGCTGCCAGAAATAAATACTTACCACATTCATCAGATTTTCATGATCTCCATTCTGATTTTTTGCCTTCTTTTCCCTTAATGAAAAAGACACATGAATTTTTACTACAAATTATGCTAATATACAAATACCAATCATTCATAGACCTTACACTCCTGCAGGGAACAGAACTATGATTCACAACAATACTGAACATGGAATAACTGAAAATTATTACAGCAATTGGTATGACCTCTGTGTAAAAACACCATTGAGGCAGAATGGCGACAGACATAACTGAAGAGGTACAACAAACACACAAAACCCTTCTTCTCACTCAATGTGAGATCACAGTGAGAAGTGACTGATGGTTATTACAATGTAATAAAATAATTATGCAGAGACAGGACATTGGGGAATGGCTTCAAAGTGAAAGGGAGTAGGTTTAGATTAAATAATAGGAAAAAATTCTTTACTGTGAGGGTGGTGAGGCACTGGAACAAAATGCTCCAATAAGTAACTATTGGTGGATGCCCCATCCCTGGCAGTGCTCAAGGCCAGGCTGGATGGGGCTCTGAGCAACCTGGTCTAGTGAAACGTGTCCCTGCCTATGACAGGGAACTAGATGATTTCTAAAGTCTCTTCCAACCCAGGCCATTCTATGGTTCTATGATAATAAAAATATTATTCTTTAATCATATCTGAAATTCTTAGATATACATTCTGGTTACAGACTGCTTAGGAAGTCCCTTAAACTGCATCAGAAAAAAGTGTGTATCCTATGAGGAATTAGAAAAGGTCAACAAAATCCAGGTAATTAAAAATGCCAGTCAAATTGATAATAAGCATAAGCAGTTCAAAAAGGTGTACAAATTTCACAGCAGCAGGGGCCTACATTTTTAAAGGAATCCTGCTTCCCTCGGTCCTTCAAAGGAATCTAAGTGTGGATCACATTTCCATTTTTACCATTTGGGAAATATAGCTCTTATTCAGAAATACTGCAATACAGTATGAGCTTAAAATAATGTTAGTCCTTCCCCTAGATGAAAAGTCAAATAAAAATTGAGAAAATATTGACAAGATGAAACTTTTGCTTCTTCTGAAGTCTGCAGTGAACTGAACTTCCACATTAGCAACTGTTAAAATTCTACCTAATTGGGAAATACCAAAACAGCAAATGAGCATGCACCAATGCAGAGCTGAGAAAGTTAAAAGCTGAATTTCCTCTCTGGAAATTTTTCTGACTCTGATATTTTAGAAAGAACAAACTTTATTCAGTTTTCTATGTCCTCATCCATTTTTCAAGAGGAAGCCAGGAAGAAATTCTGCACAACTGCATTTATGCATAAACAACCTGCCCTACAGAATGACCCGAAACAACAGATATTATGTCCAAACTAGCAACACAAGAATTTATTAAAAAAACACCACCAGAATATTTCAGGCAATGTATCTCTGTAACTGCAAAGATCACTCAGGGGTTTGACCCATCTTTCTAGAAAAGGTTCAAGGATTGGTATGTTACAAAACAAAACACAGAATTATAGAATCATTTGGGTTGGAAAAGGCCTTAAAGATGATACACAGCACCTAAATGCAATGTCTGTGGGCTGAAGAGTATTTAAAATAGGGTTCCTACTTTTAAATAATTAAGAAAAAAATCTACTATTTTTTACACAGATATCACAGGAAACTGTGACAATAAGAAGATACTGAAGTGTCAACTCACAGTTTACAAAAGTGTTTCTCCTGAATCACATGAAATTACTTGTTCTAACTTAGGCTTTTTAGGGTTTCAACCAACTCTGGGACCTGGTTTTGCCCACAACTGTTTTTTGCATGGCGGGCATTAGATAAATCCTGCTGAAAAACAAAGTCTTCCACTGTAGACACATCTTGTGCCAATACAGTGCATTTTATGGCTGCACAATTTCCTCAATGTTCTCAAAGCTGAAGGGGTGAAAGCACATGCTCCTTACAGGCACATGCACCCAAACTGCCGATTTTGCTGCTCTAGTGGATTTTTCCCCCATAGACTTGGCTGGTTCAGCTGTGCTTACAAAACAGAGCAATATGGACCAAGCAGTGCCACTCCTGACAGCGAGGGGTCAGCCTGCTCTGGCCTGTGGAGGGCACCGTGGGCAGAGTGCAGGCTGCCCCCTCCCTGTGCAGCCAGCAGGGCTCAGAGTGCGTGTCAAGAAGGAGCCTTGAAAGATGCATACACAAAGCCAGTTATAGTGCCTGTATTGGTGAAATTGAATCCTCTCATGGAGAAGAAAATAAGGATAGGGCACAAGGCATTGATTAGCACCACTGTTTGATCCTGACTTGTTTTTTGCATGAAAGGCAGGATCAATACTACATTCCCAATACTTCAGGAACGGCCACAGCAAAGCTGAAGTACATAATCACTTCCCTTTCCTTTTTACCTAGACTTTTTTATGGTCCTGTTTAGCCCACCTAATGTTCTCAGTTTCAGCTTAAGGGTGTGATTTGCTAACACTCAGTGTCTACCTGTGCTTCAGGCTTCTGCTTAGGAGAAACCACCAAATAAACACAATTGTGTACTTCCTTCACAGCAAAAAAAAAAAAAAAAAAAAAAAAAAAATTAGATTTTAGAATGAATAGAACTGTTCAAACTGAAGTTTGCTCTGAAAACTGTACCTTTCTTTTTTAATTTCTGTACCTCAGTCCTCAGTGTTTCCTGGTAACTACTGATACATGAAGCTATGTCCAAAGTGAACCATTGAGCCCTGGAGCCTTACCCATTGCAGCTGGAGCAAAGGAAGATGAGGAAGGTGAGGAACAAGAGTGTTGTCATGGCTGCCAAACTTCCCCACAGGATTACGTGGATCTGTCCAGTGCCTAAAAAAACACCCTCCAGCCCCATGGTACTAGCAGGAGCTGGTATCACTTGGGGTTGAAGAAGTTACTCCTCGAAGAAGACTGACATCTGTGCTGCATGCACCTTCTGTTTCTGCAGAAGGAAAGAAAAACACCATCAGAGGTTAAGAGAAATTTTGAAGATAATGAATCTGACAGCTACAAGTCTGGCAGGAGAGATTTTCAAATCCAGATCTTATGAAAACCAGTTTCAAGTACAAGCCAGCCAGCCAAAGAGATTTTCTGCTACATTTCTGACAGTAACATAGAACAGATCTGTCAAATATTAACACAAGCTGTTACCTATCTACAATCTCAATATGAATAAAAGGTAGTACAGCATCTCCGTACTTGTATCTTCAGGAAAAGACTTATAAATCTGCTTTGAGGGCCAGAGTAATCTATTTTGTGGTTATATTTGCAAATTTTATTGAAAAATGAGCTTTTGAAACCAGCTACAACTTCTGCAAAGACAACAAGCCAAAAGAGCTGCAGCAAACATTCACCTCCTCTCTCAGTCTCACCTGCCTGCCTGTGATTGGAGGCTTAAAGTGCAGTGACAAATAAACTAGGTAAGTCTTTGAAAGGAATACCACAAACACCTTTCTCACAGCAGATAAGATCCTGTCTCATTTCTGTGTGACATGCGTATTTTCTTAATAGTGTGTCTGGAGAGTAACAATACTGAACTTTCTTTTTTAGCTTCTCCACACATGAGTCTGTGAAAACAACAGTGCAAAGTAAACAGGGTCTTTTTTAAGAACTTGAATAAACACAACTTTTGCTACAGCACAGCAGCCCGTGGGGAAGACTGCTGGGTAAATCCTATTTGTGACATACAAGTTTTGGTATACAATACATTCTAAAATCCTGTACATACATTTAGTGCAATATATTGTTGACATGGCAAAATTAAAAAGAAGTTATTAATTCTTCACTGCTGAAGGTAACAATTCCTCCATAATTTGGGAACAGGTTATGCAAAGCCTATTTACAGGCTTTCAGCCTGACTTGATTGATAAAAACTGAAATAGAATACAATGGCTAAGAAATGAGCAGATATATTTTGGGAATGAAAAAGTAGCACAAATATAAGATTGACAATGTGTAAAGCCACTAATGACTTACTTTAACACATACATTTTCATAGAATTTCTTTTTTGGTATAGGAAATTTGTATGTAGATATGTTTATTTCTTTGCAGCAGAAGCATCCTTTGTAAAAACAAATTCAACTAGGTGCTAATATCATACTTGCATACAAAAACATATCACCATTTTGTTATTAAAATCTTACAAGAAAAGAAGATTTATCTCCAGAAAAAGCCACTCAGATCAAAGTAAATCTGGTAAATTAGAGAAGATAGTAGCTAGACATAACAACTAAGGTGATTGGGTAGCTTGGGTAGCTCTTACAAGTAACATTTCTGTTCCTGCATAAAATGAACTCAGTCATTTCAACCATGCAGGATCAGACTTCTGAACACCTTCCAACACGAACCTTATTAATTTATCCACAGTGGATAAATGGTTTTAAAAAAAAAATTCCCTTTAGGTAATAATGGCATTATATGTAAATTGATATGGGAAGAAACAAACAAAAGATGGGAAAAGTTGCTGATCCTGAAAACATCAATTTCAAGGTGTAGTTAAATATTTTAGGTTTGGGCAAGAAAGAAGAAAGCCAGACATTGTGTAACTTCTGCAAACCCCTAAATGCACAGGAAGAACAGGTGCCACACACCTGGGCAAAGCACAAACATCTCACTGGTGGTTTTGAGCACTGAGAGCCAAGAGCCACCGCTCCTCAGCGATGACCACTGCCAAGCAATGTGCCTCTCTGCTTATCTGGGCAGAGCCTGGAAAATCAAACATTTAAAAGCAGCGGCAGATCACTCTAAAAGTTGTGTATGCAGCAGATGACACAGCTCTGCCTCATCCCTATTTTAAAGCCCAGGTTGGGTTATTTCTACCGTGAGTCACAGTCACTGACTGTGAAATGGAGAGACCTTAAGGGAAACTGAATCAGGTTTAGTCAGGAGAAAACTTGGTGTAATGCCCACAAATACCTCTGTGATGTCATGCAAGGGCACTGTGCATTGGAATGGATTCCTGTAAAGGTGATGGACTGTCCTCATCCAGAAAACATTACCAAGCACACTGTGCTAGCTGCCTTAACTGGCTCCAAATCCTTGTTAAGATGGTTGAATAGAAAGTACTTCCCTTCTAAGCTTTTCTTTTTTGTGAATTTTCAAAGACATTTTCTGCCCTGCTAAAACTTAGGAAAAATTAATAAAAATCTTTTCATTTCTTTTGTCCAATCCTTTTGCCTTCAAAACCCCCTAATTTTCTTTTTTCCTTGGAAAAAAAAAGATTAAATGAAAATGGAATGTAAAGACAAAGGAAACTGAGCAAAATAAGTTTTCAGCACTTTTGTTATCTTTTTTCCTTAGTTATCCCAAGAAATAAGTGAAAACAGCAGCAGGGGCTGAATGAAAATGAAAACAAGAAACTATTTTTTTTAAATATTGAAAAGGAAGTGGCGGAAGGAAGTGGCGGAAGGAAGTAGCGGAAGTGGCGGAAGTGGTGGAAGTGGCAGAAGGAAGGAAGGAAGGAAGGAAGTGGCGGAAGGAAGGAAGTGGCGGAAGGAAGGAAGGAAGGAAGTGGCGGAAGTGGCGGAAGGGAGTGGTGGAAGGAAGGGGCGGAAGGAAGTGGCGGAAGGAAGGAAGTGGCGGAAGGAAGGAAGGAAGTGGCGGAAGGAAGGAAGGAAGTGGCGGAAGGAAGGAAGGAAGGAAGGAAGTGGCGGAAGGAAGGAAGGAAGGGGCGGAAGGAAGTGGCGGAAGGAAGTGGCAGAAGGAAGTGGCGGAAGGAAGTGGCAGAAGGAAGTGGCGGAAGTGGGGGAAGGAAGGAAAGAAAGAAAGAAGGAAAGAAGGAAAGGAAAGAAGGAAAGAAGGAAGGAAGGAAGGAAGGAAGGAAGGAAGGAAGGAAGGAAGGAAGGAAGGAAGGAAAGAAAGAAAGAAAGAAAGAAAGAAAGAAAGAAAGAGAAAGAAAGAAAGAAGACGGAGAATAGGAATTTAAAGTATTTTTCTTAAAACAGAAGCACATTTTTATTTTCTTTTAGAGCAGACACAGACCTGTCTTGAAAGATACTTAAATTATTTCTACTACTAAGGTCATAATTTTGTATCTACTCTGAAGAAGGATACTTTACTCTCAAAAGACTAAGTAATGTAGCTTAAGCTAATACTGTAAGGAAAGTGGGTTTTTAAAATTCGAAATATATATTCTTAAGTTTCCAGGACTTTAAATAAAGATAACATTTAAGCTAAGGAAAGCTCAGGCTACATGGGGAGCAGTCCCATGGAAAAGCTCTGTCTTTGAAGGCTTCAGAACAGAGTTAGAAGTGCTGGTCTGAGCCAGAGCAGAGGGAGCTAAGACTGAACTTCAAAAGGAGTGAGATAAAGAGTCAGTCAAGGAAGACCTCTCTGACTGATGTCAGGAGTGAAGCACAAGACATGAGGCATCCCACCAGGCAGAAGTCAAAGCAGCAAAGGGAATGACCAAGGCCAGAAGATGCAGTTAATTTACAGGAAAGCAGCACGAAATGCCTTGACTATATGCTGAGAGAAAGAGGTCAGAACAGGACGGAAAAGCACAGTGGCACTTGAACCAGGGGAGGTGACTGCTGCAGACACCTGTGCAGCAGAACAGAGAAATAACAGGAACAGACTGATGGCAGGTGAAGCCCTGAATGAAGGAAGCTGAGCAGGCAAAATGTGACAAGTGATTCCTCTCAGCTCCTTGAACAGCAGGAGTTTAGCATAAGTGCTAAAGGGCCTAGAATCTGCTCAGCACACATGACAACCAGAAGTAAATACAATTACAACATAAAAACATCTCAGTCTGCCAGTACCTAAAGGGGACTCAGAGGAAAACTACTGAGGGACTTTTTTTAAAGGGCATGTAGTGATAGAACAAGGGGGAGTGGCTTTAAACTGAGAGTGGGTTTAGACTAGATCTCAAAGGAAATTTTTTTACAGCGAGGGTGGTGAGGCATTGGAACAGGTTGCCCAGAGAAGTTGAGGATGCCCCATCCCTGGAAGTGTTAAACACCAGCTTCGATGGAGCTCTGAGCAGCTGTGTCTAGTGAAAAGAGTCCCTGCCCTGGCAGGTGAGTTGGAACTGGATGACCTTCAATGTCCCTTCCTACCCAGGCCATTCTATGATTCTGTGGTTCTAGATTCACCCTCTGTGAACCCTTACCATGCAGTGACATCAGAGAGCTTGCTCTTTCTGTTCAATGCCTCCCAAAAAATGAGGCTGAAATAATATTCACCCAGGCTGGGGAATATTCCAGGAGAGCTCCTGGAATGCTTGAAGCTGGACCAGCACCCATCAGCTGGCCCAACCAGCCCTGGACAGAAACCTGGCAAAGACAGACGGAAAACACAACTGCCTGAACTTCCTCTGCTTCCACTATGTGAATGCCTGGACACTAAAACATCAATGCCTTGGATTTAGGAGATGTTCCTGAGGCTGGCTTTAAAGAGAAACTTATTTCAAATCATAATGATGGAACAACAAGCAGCTAATTTTTAAGAGCTTTCTGACAGCTGAAACGATTAACTCCTGCTCTTACAGTGGAAAGTGATATTGTGCTGCCCTCTGGTGAATCTCTCTGTTTGGGGTCTGGGATTTGTGGCTCCTATGAGGTGATTCAGAGCTCGGTGCAAACTCTGGAGTTCAGTGGGGCCCTGCATCTGTCAGGCACAAAATAGTCCTACCTCCACCCCTGGAAATCTGTCAAATAGTTCAACCTTGCAGACAGACACTGCTGAGACAGAATAGTGGTCAATGGAACTGTTTGGGGTTTTTAAAATTATTTTCTGGTGTGACAACCATTTAAAGATAAAGATTTCTTCCACTGTACCCTTTCCACAGAACTCTGCACACAAGTTGTTGGGGATGCTGAACTCTTAAAGAGAATAACAGAGAAAGGCCTGGAACATGAGGGTAAGAAACCTGGTTATTTCATCTATGGCAAAATCTAAACAATATAGTCTGCATTCACATGTCAAAGTCACTACCAGTTCAG